TTGGCCAGTTTAAGTCCCCTCACAATGTCCTTATCTGCAGACGCACACATCCCTTACTAGGTTCTCAGCCTTCCTAATGCTGTGACCATTTAATATAGCTCCTCATGTTGTAGCACACAATAAACTATTGTTACACTAACACATGACTTAAGGGGATAGAACCTTGATTGTTCAAGCTCTATTCAACTTTTCCCTTTTCCCATGTCTTTCCCTGGCCTAGGCCTCTCTCTTGGCTTACCTCCCATTCTACCCACTTGTATGGACTTTGTTCATTTCATTCCTGACATTTTTCTCCTTTCAAAAATCCATCATCCTTTGACTGACTCCCTATGGGTCTTCTGTAGCTGGTCCAGTTGTTTTCCTATGCAGGAAAAAGAATAATCTACCTTTAAGTGAGGCATTGAAAGAGTTATAATTCACAGCTGGTATTTCCAGTGTATTTTTGCTCTTGAATTTTTTCCTACCCCATCATCACCCACAGCTGTTGTTCCTCTCACCACCAGCACCAATGACATGTAACAAGAATTTAGTAATAAAATTAACAACAGATCATGTTTCTCATTTGTTATGCAAAGTTCCTGACCCGGTTTCTAACTGCAAACAACTTAGGGGAGAAATGAGTTTATGTTGGCCAGTAGGACACAGTCCATCATTAAGGGAAGTCAGGACAGGAACTTGAAACAGAAATCAGGGAGTAATGCTGCCTGCTGGCTCTCTCACAGGCCTGTTCTTAGCTAGCTTTCCTATATAGTTCAAGAGCATTGCCCAGGGAATGGGGCTATTCACAGTAGGCTGTGTCTTTTGCATCAACTAATAATCAAGACAATTCCCCATAGACATGCCCACAGGCCAATTCCTCAGTCAAATCTTTCCTCTCAGATGACTCTAAACTGTGCCAACTTGGCAATTAAAACTAACGAAGACAAAGCCATACCTTTCATATCATCTTTAAGAAAGTCCAGGTAGTATCTGGATTACTTCGTTCATGCCCATGATGCACATATCATTAAGCTCAGTTGACTGTCATCTGCAGAAGCAGCTCTCCCTGCTAACAAGAACTCCTTAGCTAGGGATAAGAACTGAAGCAACTGTCTGGCTTTCATTTAGCTATCTGCCATGACAGACATGGTGATCCAGGTTTGTGGGACTGGAGATAAAAGATGAACAAAGAAAAAATTGACACAAAGGCATTTTGCAAACGAAGAAGCATCTTCCTGGGACAAATGTGTACTGAGAACCTGCTGCTTGCTGAGCACAGTTCTTAGCGACGTGGGCACAACAAAGAATGCTCCACACCATGTCAGACTCTGTGTGCCACAATCAGGTCCTCAGCTTCTGTTTGGAGATGGGAAGACTTTGGAATGATTCCGACACATGAAGGACATGATCTAACTCTGTTTTTAGAGGCTCATGCTGAGCTGTGAAAGGACATTTGTCAGGAAGCAAATGCAGTATTCAGACTTGGGGAACCAAGGCTGTGGTGGTTGTAGGAGTAGAGCATTGAAAGGGGCTTGATCCTGAACATATTGTGAATACAGGCCCAACAGAATTTCATCTGTGAAGTAAGGGATGAGGATCTATAGAGACAGGCACTTAGGAAAAGGAGTCTCTCTTAGTTAGTGTTGCTATTTGGTGGGGAGGGGAGCTAAAATAAATTTGTATTAAATGCCAGAGATTTATACACAATTCATAAGACTTTTACAAAACAATCGCCAGTATAAGTCCAATTTTGTAAGTTTCTGTACAGATTTAGAAATTTTGCTGTGGAATAAAAGTCTATAAAGTATTTCTTTTAGAAAGCATCAGGATACTAATTTTAGGAAAAAGTGTTTAAAATTAAGTCTTTGTGAAGGCAGGGTTCCCAAAGATTCTTGTTCTTTATCCCAGTGATGAGATGGCAAACATTAAACACAGTGACTGAGGAAAGAGTAAGGAGTCTGTAAAGTTCTGGTACTTCACCTGAATTTTTTTTTGCTACCTTTAGAAGCAGTACCATTACAAGTGCCATTATCAGCAGGCACACTGTCCCCAGTGGCACTGATATATGCAAATACACCATCACAAAGAAGCACTCTGTTTTAATGGATGTTAAGAGCCATGTCTAACAGGAGACAGTCTCTCCACTGTCTCAGAGCTAAATATCATTGCTATAGTAGGATCATCATTTGTTTTATTAAAGATTAGAATATGACAGATTGTGTAAATGGCCGGTCATCTGGTGCTGAGTGCACCCTGAAGTTTAACAGACTGCCTTTAAATTCAAAGGGCTGGAGGGCAGAATCCTGCCTGTCAAACAACCAACCTACCTCAAAGACAGGAAGCAACCAGCAACTTCCTCATATTTGGAAACACAAGGAATTTAAAAATTCAGTGTTTTCAGCCCCCCCCCCCCCGCCATGCCCCGAGTTCTGAGTGCTTTTTACATAGTCTCTAGTGTAGCAAATACATTCTATTGTTTCAAGAACAACTCTTATAAAGAAAAAACATTTAATTGGCGTGGTTTACACTTTTAGAGGTTTAGCCCATTATCATCATGGTGTAACATATGGGATGAAGGCAGACACGGTGCTGGGAAAGGAACTGAGAGTCCTGTATCTTGACCCACAGGCAAAAGAAAGTGGTCTAACACACTGGGTGTGGCATGAGCATAGGAGAGACCTCAAAGCCCACCCCCAGAGTGACACACTTCCTCCAACAAATCCACACCTCCTGATAGTGCTACTCCCAGTGAGCTTATGGGGGTCAATTACATTCAAACACCCCAGGGTCTGTGGAGGTTTGAGTAGGAATGGCCCCCATAGACTCATGCTTGGTCCGTTAGGAGGTGTGGTCTTGTTGGAGTAGGTGTGGCTTTGTTGGAGGAAGTGTGTTATTGGGGAGTGGGCTTTGAGGTCTCAGAAGCTCAAGCCAGTTCACTTCCTGCTGCCTTCTACCTTGTGGAGAGTCTTTCTCTCTGTACACCTACCCCCATTTCTCTCTGTCTCTCTGTCTCTGTCTCTCTCTCACTCACACTCACACACACACACACACACACACACACACACACACACACACACACACCAAAGGTTTTCTTACCTTTTTTGTTGATTCCTATTGTGCCTGAGATTTTTTTTGCTGTATTTTAATTAGTTAATTGGTGAGAAAAATGAATCCAACCAAGAGCCCTAGATGGTAACAGAAGGGTTGTTAAGTTTAGAGTGAGGGGGAAAAAAGGAACAACAATGACATTGAGGATTTTGGCTTGTGTAGCTGAAAGGACAGAATGGCTAAAGGCCATTGAGGGGGGAGGTGTTAGATTTGTCATACCCACTGAACATGCAAATAGGAGGCCCAGCAGCTAACCAACTGAATGAATGAGCTGGACTTTGGTAGGCAGCAACAAAAGGAGGAAGTGGCCAAATAAGGGAGTAGACCTTGGAGGGAGAATGGAGGAGAAGGGCGAGGTCTGCCAGAGCCATGCTCTAATGGACTAGTTTCCCTTCATAGTCCCTTATTTGGCAGAAGGCTGGCTACCAAGGTTCAGCTATCAAAGGATTGAAACCCAGCAATCAAAAGCCCACTTTGGCTTGCCTAATTAACATGCCCAATCAAAATTAAACACCTCATCCTAACACAGGGTTTCTCCCTTTACCTTTATAAACTGCCATTTTCCTGTGGGACACAACTATTTCCCCTCTATCCAGAGGTAGTTCTTTGTTCCCTGTGACAAATATCCCTGTACCCCTCCCCCTTGTTCCCTTTCCCTTCTCCCTTGTCCTCTATCTCCTGTCTTTGTCTCTTATCCTCTGTCCTTTGTCCCTCTAAGGGTAAATAAATCTTCTTTGTGTTGAGAACTGGGTCTTGGGGGTCCTGAGCTCATGCGCCAGTGAGGGAGTCTGCAGCACGTGTTGGACCTGAAGTCTTTGGCATGGAAGGACTCCCCAGGGGAGGAGGTAAACGGCCTTTCCAGACTGTTTACTCACAGTGTGAACTTGAACAAGCTTCCTTCCCAGCTGAGGTTCCTGCCCAGGAAACTGAATGTATTTTTTCCCTTCTGATAGGAGTGGATGATGCAAAACCACTGCTCCGACTTCAAAGGCCTTCAGCAGTTTACCCTGGAGTCAAACACAAGTGACCCTGGCCCAGGGAACACCATTTAGATTAGCTAAATTTCACGTTCCAACCTTTTGTGAATGCTTTATAGTAAGTAACAGAACAAAGAAAGTCCTAAGTCAAGACACTTTTAAACATATCTGTGGAAACACTAGAGATGGGTTCCAGCCCTGTGGAGAAATCTCAGCTGTAGATGTTCTCTGCTAGTGTCCTTAGCCTTTTGATTGGAGAATGGGATCTTATGTAATACACCGCAAAGGTATTCTATCTGTCAGGATGTTACACGTACTTCTGCAGAGGCGGGGAATGAATGGATGTGTAAGGGGCCAAACGCCGCCCAAGATAAATAGTAATTAGGATCTGGACCTGCAACATTCCAACTCTTCATCACTGCAGTTTTAACCAGTCAATCAGCCTCTGCAGACAATGCCTCCAGAATTTCTATTTCACAGGGTCTTTTGGTGATATAAGGTGACCCATGAAAAACATGACTACAACAACTTAGGCTGACGTTATTTCTCTATACTAGATAGATACTCAGTACTAAGAAAGCAATTTACAAGTTGGACAGGTTGATTTGAAAAAAAAAATAAAACAAAAAAATCCCAAAACAAAAGAAAAACCTAACATTGCCAGGTTCTGTATAGGTCGACCGGACTACATGGAAAGCGGGTAACAGGCCTGGCGGTCCCGGAGTGGGGCTTCCTGAGTGGTGGGAGAGGAATACAAAAGGACCACCGGAAGAATCCGCAGAACGCGGTGGTGTGTGCCAGGGACCATAGAGGGTCTCTCCGCCGCTTCCTAGAGCGGCCGGCAGCGCCGCTAACAGCCCGCACTTCCGGCGGGCGAGGAGCAAAGCGAGCTCCGTGGCGGCCTGCGGTGAGTGCGCCTGGGCTGAGGGTCGGCCTGGCCGGGTGTCCGGCGAGGCTGCGCAGGGCACGGAGCCGTGCTAGCGGCCAGGGCGAGCGGCCTCGGCCTGGCGTCAGCCTCGGCCCGGGAGCCTCCGCTTGTCGCGGAGAAAGACTCCATTGTGGGAAAACTTGGGCTGCACCGGGCCTTTGTGAGCGACTTAAGAGGAGCTGGTGGATTCTTTGTTGTTCTCATAAATGGGTGAGGAAGCAGGTGCATGCCTGCTAGACAGGTTTCCGGCACCGGGGCTCTATCGCCCAGCTTTACCGAGCCTCTCTCCTACTGGAGAACCCAGAACACCGGACTTGGTGTTGGAAGAGGGGGCCATGGACCTCCAGATATGCCAGTGAGAAATCAGGCCCCCGAGGCGGCTCCTGGCTTGGGATGGGTGTGCTAACTAGCTTTGTGCCTGTGTTTACAAACCCACAAAGGGAGATGACGGCATAAAGCTGTATAACCCCCTCCCAATAAATGTACATAGGTAGATTTGGTAATCCGTATCCATCAGTTTCCAATGAGTTGTGACTTCCTCAGTATTTAAAAAGATGCGCTTTAAAATGGATGATTAGTGTTATAGCTACTTATTGAGTACCGTGTACCCCACGCAGTGTCTCCTGTGTAATAGGCGGTCTGTACACAGCTGAGACAGTTAACGGCCAGCGATTGCTCTTGCTTTGTGTTTTATGCAGTTTGCTCTTTCTGTTGCTGCAGCTGCAGCAGATAAAAATTCTTAAACACCCAGAGAAAGTCCTGCTCACTCTTAACGCTTGGAGAATTATTACACAACAATGAAGGGGGGGTGTCTTTTGTGTTTTATTTACTTTGTATGCTTGTATGCAAAGAAACTCAGGACAATAACTGACTTGGAAGCGTAGGCTTTCTAACCCAAGCAAGACACAATAAAGGTTTTGCTTTGCAGCCCCGACTCCTCCCACATTGCCACCTATTTGGAATTTGTGTGTGGCGGGGGAGTGGGGGGGGCGTTTATTTTGACATTTTAAACAGCCTCCAGACAACCTTAAATGTAAACAAATAAAATTAATTTAAAACTTAGAATCGTGCCTTCTTTCTTGGCTCTGTGCAGTCTAGGAAAGGAGGAGTAAGGTCGTTTTTTCAGATTTTTTTTCTCACCTATTACTTTTTATTCTTTTTGCAGAGTAGCTTCCATCTTCAACAGTTTGCTAGGTTATCATCAACAGAAATAGCTAAACAAATAGGAATCTATGGTAAAGTAGTATGATCTGTCATTCCTTTCGAATTTGAACGTCTTAGGTAGCTGCTATTAAGTGAGATTTAGCAGTCAACACTGAAACGAATTACTCAGTGGTAGAAAGTGTGACGGTCTTTTGCAGTGACTTTTCTATTCCCACTGAAACTTTGTCTTGTTTTTACCTTTTAGTCCTTCAAAATACTCTGTGTTGCTGCTCCCTAACACATTTATGTTTTTCTTCACCCTTTGTTTTGCCTGCCCAAACACAGTAAAATTGAAAATTGATGATTTTTTTTAAGTTTAACTTGTGGAGTCAGAATTATCTGACAGGTATTTGTCTCTTAAAATTGCATTTTTATTTGTACTAGGTGTGCTTTGATTTAAATATGGATGCAATTTTGATAGACTGAAGAGGTGTTAAGTTGAGTAACAGGAATCTCTTTTTTCTACATGCAGAAAATTCTGAGCTGGGTTCCTCTAGGATATGAGACCTTAGTTCAGAAGACAATAGAATCTCTTGACGATACATCTGGCCATTCACCATGAGGTTAGGAAAGCCTAAAGGGGGTATTTCTCGAAGCTCAAACCAAGGCAAAGCCTATGAGACCAAGCGTAAGACATCCCGCCAGCGGCAGAAATGGGGGATGACCATTCGATTCGACTCCGGCTTGAGTAGAGGGAGAAGAAACATGGATGAGAAGCCCTACAAATGTACTAGATGCTCGAAGAGTTTCAGTCAGAGCTCCACCCTCTTTCAGCACCAGAAGATCCACACCGGGAAGAAGTCCCATAAGTGTGCTGATTGTGGGAAAAGTTTCTTTCAGAGCTCTAACCTCATCCAGCATCGGCGGGTGCACACTGGGGAAAAGCCCTATAAGTGCGATGAGTGTGGAGAGAGGTTTAAGCAGAGCTCGAACCTCACCCAGCACCAGAGGATTCACACTGGAGAGAAGCCCTACAGCTGTGATGAGTGCGGCCGGTGCTTCAGCCAGAGCTCCCACCTCATTCAGCACCAGAGAACGCACACCGGGGAGAAGCCCTACCAGTGCGAGGAGTGTGAGAAATGCTTCAGCCAGAGCTCGCATCTGAGGCAGCACTTGAAGGTGCACAAAGAAAAGAAGCCACATAAAAGAGGGAAGAACGCCAGGGCCAAAACTCACCCGGTGTCCTGGAAAGCTGGGAAAGGAAGAAAGGCGGTGGCTGGGCTCCGCCAGGGGAAGGGTGCTGCTTCAGGCCTTTTTAAAAAGAAGAAGTGAGGGAGGCCGGCGCTCTCTCCTGAGAAAGGCTGCTTTGTAGTGGAGCACTTAGATACGGATCCTTCCCTTGAAGGGGTTTCATGACATGGGGCTGCCCTCGTTTCCTTAAAATAATAATGCATTTACGTGACATGGGGCACAAAGAACTGAAAAACATGTTTGGTGAGAATATAATATCCTCAGCCTCAGCTGAAATTTCTCCCTTATGTTTTGATAAAAACTATCATGTTCTCATGATTCACAAGTGTGCCAATGATTACTCTGTTCTTAGGAATTTCTGTAGGAAATCATTAATGAAGAAGGAATGAGTTTCAAGTTCTGGGACAGACTGTATTTTACTTTTTTTAATGTTTTATAGTCTACTAACCATTAGTATAAGTGTTGACTCAGTATTTGACATAAAATGCATTCAAGTTCATAGTTTTCTTTTTTGTTAGTGCATATTGTATGAGGTAAGAGTTGTTTTCTTCAGTGTGTATGACGCATCTATATGAGGTGCTTTGATCGTATCCATCCTTCTTACCCTCTCCTCCTCCTGGCTGCCTTCCTTCCTGCCAGCTCCCTTCCCATTTAAGATGTTTACCCCAGACGCTGTAAATGAGAGAAAATGTAGTCGGTTATTTTCCTGAGTATGACTGACTTTGTATAATACAGTGATCTCCAGTTCTTTCCATTTTTCTCCAAACAGGATTTTGTTGTTTTTGGACAAATAATAGTTTATCGTAGCATTTGAAGGCTTTAGTGACAGCCCACTTGTGTTTGTTTTTTCCCTTCTACTCTGTGGGTAAAGGGGACAAAAGGTCCCTATGTGGCTTCTCTTTACTTTTTTTGTTTTGTTTGTCATATTCTTAGAGTCTAAAGAATCCAAAATGAGAGACCACGGGACCTCCCATCCTAATACTGTTTGTGATCTTGTCATTGCTGTGTCACTTGCTGTCTGGACATTGGATTGGGCTTACGTTGAGTCATGCCTGTGGCCTCTTGGCATTCCCTTGTTCTCTTACACACACAGCACCTGCATGAATAAACTGTATTTTACCAAGAAAGCCTCAGCTTGCTCCTGGCTGAAGATCTACAATGTCATAGACTGCGCTTTGAATAATACTGACTGTCTGAAGCAGATGTTTGTCCCCAAGTTACTGGCCAGCGTACTGTAGCCGTTAGAATTTACCTCTATAACTTCATAGCAGCTGTTTAAGAAGACTAGCATACACCCTTCTTCCATCAGAACAATACCAAACATGCATTCCTGATTAGCCTTGAGCTTGGATTTTTCTTCATTGAATGCTAATGTTTTTCTGATTTTTATAATATCAGTTCTTCCTGTATTGATGACAATTATCCTTAAAAATAAAGAATGAGATATTTTTGCATACTACTATCTTCTGTTTTTCTTGAGAGAAATTATTTTTAGTGAGTTAGAAAACAAGTCACTTTTAGATTTGTTTGCTCTTTCTGGTTTCCTCAGATCTGAACTTCACCTCCCTTCTGCCCCTGTGCATGTAAATGGAGAGCCATAGCATGTGGCCTATTGACAATAGTTATATCCAACACGATATACAAAATGTCTTACAAGTATAAAGGTATTGCAGTCATCTTTTCCAAAGACTTGATCCCTGATGTCCTATTATAGCCACATCACTATAGCAGGGGCACGGCCATGGGGCCCTATGGTGTGTCTGTCAATGTTAGATTTGTCTCTGAGATAGTTTCTGTGGGGGAAATTTACACCATTTTCATAAGTTCTGGGAATTTCCCATTCTGATGCCAACCATGGGGTTCCGGCAACACTAAGGCCTCTCTATTAGTTTTGATAACGTACACCCTTACCTAATAGATCTACCTATGTTCCTTATTAAACTCGTCAGTTTCAATGCCACTTGCTTTGTATATATTCTGAAAACCCTGAAGCTGGTGGGTAACAAAGACAGTGATTTCTATGAGTATTCGGTGGTAGCCAGTGTATCTGTGTTTCTTTTTAGAAACTAATAAAATGGAAAGGTGACAGCTGTGTAAAGTTAATAAGGAAATACACTAGTAGAAACTGGATACCGATGTGAGTCTAGTAGGTAGTACCTCTGAGAATGTAGCATCATTGTATAAAAACGTGTGCTCCTCAACCCCTGTTTTCTGAGTTTCCAGTGTCAGGTGTTCAACACCATTCTTGTCATGCTGCAGACGTCTTCATCTAACCCACAGTGGCCTAGGGCGTGGTGAGGAAGCGCTTTGCCACCGAGCCACATCCCACATCCATCAGACTCCTTAGCCTCATACTTTATTAGGAGAACAAGACAAGCTCCAGGGTTTTGTTTCTGGTTTCCGTGGTGGTTAAGTATGCCCAGAATGTTTTCTTCCCAGGGAGTAAGGCGTGGAGTTAAGAGTGGCTTGGCTTGAATCAAAGGGCAGAAACAGAATAGAAACAGGAAGGTAGTTTAAAAGTCTGAGGTAGCCGTGCGTCTCAGCTGGCTCCACCGACTCCGTTTCTGTTGGTGCTGTGGTGGGGTCTTGGTGTGAAGCCCAAGCTGTCCTTAAATTCATTCCCTTGCTTGAGCCCTCCAGCTGCCAGAAGTGCACGTGAGTGCTGCCAGGGCCAGCATGACTTCCATTTTGACTCCAATACCACTATTCCCAAACACTTTACTGTGAAGACATCAATGATTAGTCATGTAGCTTGAGCTAGATGTTCCCTTGTCAAGGGGATGAGCTCCACCTTGGTTAGACTGGTCCCACGTGGGAGGGTAACAGATGCTAAGAAAGGAATTAATGCCACATTCAAGCAGCTAGAGGTATGCAAATATTAGAGGTATGCAGATAGGACTGCTAGACTGTCTACCTGGAGCCTGGTGTTAAATTCAGTTCTGCCCTGTTTGTGATACCCTACAACTCAAAAAAAAAATACTGCTGAGTCCTTTTGATAGAAGTACTTCTACACAATATAACAAGCAGCAGTTAGAAAGTTTCACCGGGGGCATATAAAACAACAAGAAAAATATTTAAGAAAACTAGTTTGAGTTAATGAATGAACAGGGACCTGGGTAATGTTATCACTAACACTTCTAGTTCAGAGGTCACCAGCTTGGTAAAGAGTCCCAAGCTTTGTATCATAGAAGGCTTGTAGAACACACAAGCAAGTAAAGGAGGCGGCAGCTACAGCATTATTACACAGAACTACACAGAAGTCCTTTATGCATTACTGTATGCTTTTGAAGCAAACATACTCTTTAACTTAGTAGGCTAGTAAATCAACAGCACTGATGAAAACCAAAACCTTAGGATGCTTACAAATCAGGGACCAATGCTGGTGATCACAAACATTAATTTCTTACGTACAGGTGGCCTCATATACAAAAAACAAAGGCAAATAGATGGGGGCCAGGTTTTCAAATAGCAAGCAGCACACACACACTCTCTCTTGCTATTGCTATCTCGCGCTCGGTCTCTTTATTTTTATCCAAATGGAGCAAATTGAAAAGAGCAGTGTCTTAAGTACTGTCAAACACCCATTGTGGAGTCAAGAGAACAGAAGCTCAAGGTTCTCTGCTACAGGACACATTTGAGGCCAGCCTAGTGTATGTGAGATCCTGTCTCAAAAGCAAACACGGTCAAAGGCATCCATTGTCTATTTTATGTGTTCAAAATCCAGACAGACCTGTTGTATAAAATGGGGTTATGTGTCACTTTGCATTCAGTACATGTCTTTAACTCTGTAAACTCCCATATCAAGCTCGAATATGTATATCTACACATTTCCAGTCACAGATACATACATTATTAGATGGCATTAAATGTAGGAAAATCACCTAAAACGGTTGTTTTAGCCGTCTAGGAGACTTAAGCAGATAACTTAAGTGAACTTAGACTTTTAAGATAAGTTTACTGAGTTGTCAAAAGCCTGGCAAAATTAGCATGAAACAGCAGTTACTTTAATAAGCAATAAAATATTTTCCAAGAATTCATTTAAATAAATGTTTCTAAGAGCAGAATAGCATTTTAAAGGCTAGTTGCTTTAGACACAGAGTTAATTGCTAGTTTCACTGTACATTGGATTTTGACCTTAGAAAATTCTTATTGGGCTGTGATCGTGACTGGTTGGTACACTGGTAAAAAGTACCAAATGTCTATAATCTCAGCACTGTAATCCCAGGCAAGGTCAAGGTCACTTTTGGCTACTTAGTGAGTTTGAGACCAGCCTGGGATGCATGGAACTGTTTTATTGTTACTGTTTGTTTTCAATACCATAGATAATTTTGTATTTTTGAAACATTTTATAAAAAAATGTTGTTGGACTGGCAAGATGACTCATTAGGTAAATGAGCTAACCCCCACACCTGACCACCTGAGTTTTATCCTTAGAATCCACACAATGGAAGGAGAGAACTGATCTTACAATTGTCTTCTTTGCATATGTCTCCTCACACACATTTTTTAAAAAGTAACAGTGTGAAGCAAGCTTGTTTCTAATTTAAATAAATAAATAAATAAATAAATAAATAAATAAAAGTGGGTCCCTCATCAGAAGAGTGGATAAAGAGAATGTGATACATCACACAATGGAGTATTAGCAGTTAAAAATAAATGACATCATGAAATTTTCAGACAAATGGATAGAGCTAGAAAAAATTATCCTGAGTGAGGTAATGCAGACTCAGAAAGACAAACATAGCATGTATTCACTCATAAGTGGATATTAGCTGTTAAGTAAAAGATAATCATGCTACAATCCACCGCCCCAGAGAGACTAGGTAACAAGGAAGGCTCTGGTAGGGATGTATGGATCTCTCCAGGAAGGAGGGACACAGTAGATTTTGTGGGTGGACTAGGAGCAGGTGGGGAGGGGAACAGGAGGGGCCAGGTTGCAGAGGCTGGAGGGAGAGAAGATGGCAGAGAAGGCTGGAATTAGATGGCATTTTGGGGTGATATGGAAACCTAGGGCAATGGAATTTATGAGGGTGACCCTACCAAAGGATACAGAACCCTATTAATGAAGGATACAGAACCTGAACCAGCCATCTTCCCGACACAGGCAAGGCTTCCAAAGGTCACACTGAGACACCAACCCAGCCATATAACCTTTGGCCCTCAATCCATCCTGTCTGCACAATGTGCTGAGGCCATGGTGCTTTGGAACTTGTGGGAGGGGTAAACTAATGACTCCAATTTGAGGCAGCACATGCCATAAGAGGGAGCCCATGCCTAATATTGCCTGGATGACCAGGAACTGGAGGCTGGACAGCCCAGAGACCGAGAGTAGAACCAAACACAACTGACCTAAATAAATAAATAGATAATAAATGACAAGTAAATAAATAAATGATTCCTAATTATATTCTGCTACACTCATAGATTGATGCTTGGTTCAGTCATCACCAGAGGGACTTCCTCCAGCAGTTGATGGGAGCAGATGCAGAGACCCTCAGTCAAACATTAGGCAGAGAGACAAAGAGAGAGAAAGAGAGAGAGAGAGAGAGAGAGAGAGAGAGAGAGAGAGAGAGAGAGAGAGAGAGAGAGAGAGAGAGAGAGAGCAGCAGATTGGAGATCTTCATTGGCTCCCTCCCCTCAGAGATCTAGTTACCCAACAGAAAAGGGGGAGGAGGAATTGTGGGAACCAGAAGGGTTGAGGACACCTGGAGAGCATGTCCTAAGGAATCAACTAAGCAGGCTCCTGGGGTGTCACAGAGACTGAAGTGGAAATCATGGCACCTGCACGGGCCTGCACTAGGTCCTCTGCATATATGTTATGGCTGTTGGCTTGTTGTTTTGTGGGGGACTCCTTACTGTGGTGGTGTGAGTATCTCTGACTCTTTCGCCTGCTTTGGGGAGATGATCATGAAGTCCCACTCTTAGCTGAGGAGCTTTGTCAATCATTTTTTTCTGGAAGATAGAGTCAACTTTCTTAAAGGATTTGGCAGCCTGCAAGGATGCCCATGATCCAGTAGATGGCTCTGCACCTATACACACTGGCAGATCCAAGTAGACTGTGTTTTAAAGAAGATGGAGAAGACATGAAATAAGGAGGGAATAGTGGTGAAGGTATAGGGAGAACCTGGAGGGAAGAGGTGAGATGTGCTTTTGATCAAAGCATATTGTATGCATATATGAAATTCTGAAATACCAATTACTTTAAATGGAGGGCAGGGATATATGCATCTAAGCATTCCTAGTTAAAGTGTGGTCCCACCCTGCATTCTCCATCATCTTCTAGGCTTCAATCAAACCCTGTTACATGGTCTAATACAAGTTATTAGAACTATGCGAAATCTTTTGCTGAGAGGCATATTCGCCCTCTAGTGGATGAGATTCCTTAGGCAATTGCTGTTTCTTGGGCTTCACTATTTTAATAACCAGATTGGGAAGACATGTGTGTCTTTAGACTATCTT